AAGCAATACGATTTGATTTCATGAGCCCTTAACTCAGTGAGCAGAGGTGGAGGTTCTTACAGGTGTGGGCTTGATCTCTGTGGTAAAGGAAGGAAAAGCAATTCAACAATGTTCTCCTGTTTCAGAAAAAAGGCTGAGGAGTCTGTGAAACATCATAACATGCACAGAACCTCTCTATGAAGCTTTCTGTTCCTGATAAAGACACTGTTCCTGTCAAGCTCGGCACTCTGCAATCCCACTGAAGTCTTTGGGGACTGAGAGGCTCAGCACCTTTCAGGAGATGCTTGAACTCAGTGGGAGTTGAGGGCACCCAGTCACTGGCAGCCTTCAGCACCTTGCAGGGTTGTGCCCACACAGCCCACAGGGGTTCAAAAGGTGAAATTCACTGCAGTGCAGAGGGCCTTGCGGTGGGTGTTCGCACCACTCTGCATCAGAGGTCTGCCCGCTGAGCGGCTGCCTGACTGTCCCTTGTATGTGACAGGAAGGGTCTTGCCTCAGGCTCCACATAGAATGCCATGAAAGGCCACATTGGGGGAAGGATGGAGGGGGAAGAGAGTGCACAGGAGAAGTTACAAAGCCATATTTATGCTGATCCAGTGGCCCCAACACCACCTTCAGCAGGTGCAGAGGGACTGTGCCTGTTAATCCAGGACTCAGCAGACGCTGTGGATTTCACCTCCCTAACTGCCATGTGCTCCATGCACATAGAGCCCAAATACTCAGGTTCTAGGTGGTTGCAGTGATTTCACCCTTAATGCCCCTGCCTTCCTTATGCCATGTTGGCATTTAGGTTCGCATACGTGTTTTTGTTGCCATTTTGGGGAGCAATATTACCTTAAGAGTGCCCTCCTTGTTACACTAATATAAGATCCTGTTGGTATTATTTTAAGAGGGATGAGGCAAAAATGCCAGGTTTATTGTAAATACAGAGAAAGAGCAAGAAATCAGGATATGCAATTCAATATTATTTCACTACCATTCCTTATTCGTTCACACACTCATTCATACAAGTTCTGCAGAGTTGTTATAGTTACCAGTGTAGAGGTTGCTCATGGCAGAGTACTGGCCAGGTAGTCTGCACATGAGGGTGGAGCCGAGTCCTTGTCAGATGCGCATCCGATGCTCCTGGAGGGTGGTTGCAGAACCAAACTCAAAAGTTTTCAGTCTTTAGAGTCTGTTCTTATAGGATTTTGTCCTTATACAAGTCTATGGGAATTGCTTCATCCTGCTGATGTTTGTTTGAGGTGATTATCAATTAGCAGGTGGCACATCCCTGATGGCTGAATGTCTGAGTGTTATCTTGTTCTTCGGGAGTCTTCAGTCCTCCATCCGGTGGGGGGGCACTTGGGTGGATTCCGGCCTGCCCACCGGGGGTCATCCAGTAATCTCTAGTCAGCGCATTCTTCAGCCAATCGAGACTGAAGTTGTAATTCTTAGGCTGGCACTTCCCTGGCCATTCATTCTTTATCTAAATCAATGTATCCTTTATCTAAATCAAGCATCCATTCACATACATCCTCTATTTTAACATACATTTATCACTTATTACTTTACTATTTCTTAACTTCTAGCAACTCTCAGGATGTTGCAAATCTACTTAAACTTTAACATAGATAGCAAACAAGTTAAAAGCTGTGTTCTGTTTTGAAGAACAATTACAGTTGTTTTTGCAAAGCCTGATTCCTTTTTGAGAACAGACTTTCTGTCTTAGGATGTGTTAACACAATTAGCAGTTTGGCCTTGCATGTTTCTCAGAGGGGGAGAGACACAGAAATGGAAAAGCAAGAGGCCTAAGCTGTGGGGAATTCAATTGAATTCAATCTTACCCTTTATCTGTTAGTCTTAAAGGTGCCACAGGACCCTCTGTTGCTTTTTACAGATCCAGACTAACACGGCTACCCCTCTGAATCTTACCCCTTGTCTATCTTGGCCTCAGACTTGTTATACACATACACTTTATGGTTCTAATACAGAAATTCCCTGATATGGTCCAACATCCTTTGGATTGAAGCAGCACTGCAGAAAGGTGCCAGATTGATTTGCCTGCTCCATAATTGTGGTTCTGAATTTAGCCAGGAAGCAGTAACGTACAAAGTGCCTGCAAGAAAATGTATGCATCAAAGAGAGAAGATGAGGTAGGTGGAAACAAAAGGAGGGGAAAAGCCAGGCAAACACGTTCCTGGCAAGTGGCAAAACCCTTGTGTCAGGCTGCCTGAAATTTTATACAACAAACTTTGCATGCCTTCTGCTGGGAAGTCCGTCTCTTTAAAGCCAATATTGTCAAGTTTAGAATGTTGAGATAAAAAGATTCAGGTCAGTACAGAATGAGTTCTCAGTAATAACAATTACCCAGACACCAGTTTTAATATGATGGCTCAAAGATAATCAACATAATAATTTTAACATATGAATTGTTTCTTACCAGAGAGCTATGTGGATCTGCCTCTTTGGGCCAGGTACAGCTGCCCTCACTGAGTGGCCCACCCTTATGAAAAAAATTCTCTCTCCCATTTGAGAGGAGCAGTCTAGTTTACTTACCTAAGATAGAAGTTGGTGATTCTCTCCCTTTAACCTACAGGTCCCTGTGGTCTGCTCACCAGCCCTTGAGTTCACTCACCTATAATTTTCTTTACCTTTGGGAAGGGACTCATATTTGCCACTTCCCTGTGTATAGCCCTAATGAACACTCAGGAACAAGACAATTACAACCAACCACCTGCCTTCCCATCCCTCCAGAAATTACTGCCCCCCCCCCTTTATTTACTTTTGTATTTTGAAGGGGATGACTATGGCTATTTAGAGAGAGGTAGCAATGAAACTGGCAAATTATCAAAGAGGATAAAAACTTGGAAAATATTTTCCAGTGTGGTTCCTCCACCCCCACCCCAAGAGTGGATTTCACCACATTTAACAAATTTCCCATGCCAAACATCCCAGTTTTGCTGCTAAGGTTTCATCAATACAGAAACATTTGGTGCAGATCTAGCTATGTCCTGCTGGAGTAAGATGGCAAGACATTAAAAGCATGAAGTTATAAATGGGCAAGATTTTAGGTAGGCTAGAAGGTCAATGCTCAAACACTTGAAAGCAGTGGAACTTTAAATGAATGTTCTCTCTTGGAATGTGCTGAAGACCTTAGAAATGAGCTACAATTCTGGCCATGCCAGTTGAAGGTCACGGAGATAGTTGAAATCGGCATTGCTGTAACAAGGTCTGGATTACGTTCTTTCTCGATAGCGCAAAACATCTTTATGGGTGTCTTCTTTGAGTGGGTAATGGTATTCTGAGCCCATAATGTCACAGCCATATTGTAACATAACAAGGTGAATAGAATCAAGGCCAGACGGGACCACCAGATTCTCTAGTCTGACCTCCTGCACATCACAGGCCACTAAACTCCGCCCGGTTACCCCTGTATATGAAACATGCCAAGAAATGAATTTACCTTGAACCAAGTCTTTTATTTATAATGATCCAAGACAAAATGAAAAGGGGAGACAGTAAAGGGAAATGTGTGCTCAAATCTCCCATTTGTGGGATTATGCATCAAGGAGTAAAATCTATTCCTATTAACCATTAAGAGACTATATTTATTTAGATTAGATTTGTAAAAGCATGAATAATTTCACAATCGAAGGTGCTTCCCATGTGAACTGCTTAAGAAGTGGGCTGCCACATTCTGCCCTAGCTTTAGTTTTTGAGTGGTCTTAATGAGGAGCTTCATGCAGAGCACATTACGGTAATCTAATATTCCAGCTATTAAACTGATTGGAGTCATGTACTTGCAGTTTACCCCAATTATGAATAAGAGAGGCTTGTGCTCCTCCTGTTTACCAAAGTTTTGGGGGTCTTGGGCTCACTTGGAAGAGTTAGGTTCCCGATGAGTTACATTCCCAATGAGCTGGATCCCCTTCTACACAGGCACCTTCCGTGTCTCCAAGAAGGATCCTGGTTAGTTGAATGGGATGATTAGATTATTTAATCACTAGTTGATTATCAAGGATTTATTTCTTGATAAGTGATAATTCAGTCATCTATAACACTAATATCATGATCTTAATGAATTATTCTATGAAATATAAATTAATTGCAGGGCTTAAGTGTGATTTGGACCTTTTAGGCGTAAATTTGCTCTTGTGGTTCACTGGATGTTTCCTTCAGTTTCAGTGCTCAGAAAAATGCTGTTTTCTCTTTTATAGTCTAGCTTCTAGCCTGTATGTTTCTATCTACTTGTTGCAATTTTCATAATTTCTTATATCCTGTATACAACTGGTTAATGTACTATTAAAGTGTTGCATATCTATGGAGGTGTGTTGGATGCTGCTGTGAGAAGTTTTACAGTGGTGTGTATCAAACAGGATATCAGAAAATTTGAACGTCTGTTTCCCTTATGATGTTCCCATAGACATGTTAATAATCCCCTCTGCTAAGGTATTATTCGTCTGGACCTCATCTACTTTGTCATCCGTGTCTTGCTCTTCCAAAAAGGAAATTAATTGGTGACGTAGTACATTTTGTTATTGCTTGGATTCTTAGCAGGTTCCCAGTATTTATTTATTTACTTACTTACTTACTTGTATTGTGGTAGCACATGGGAGCCCCAGTCATGGCCCAAGACCCCATTGTGCTAAACACTGTACAAACAGAGAACAAAAAAAAAAGCAGCCCTTGCCCCAAAGAAAGTATATACCTTGTTGTCCAGACTGCAGCAATTAGCTGCTTCCATGAGCCATTTATAGTCAATTGGAGGGGTGAGCCATATAGTTAACTAGCAGAAAAAGTATTTTGTTTCCTTTTCAAAAAACGTTCAGCACTGGATGCCGAAAGAGATGTTGTGAAGAAGGTTATGTTGCCTATGAAACCCCCTTTCCGCTCCAAATCTTCATACCATTTAAGAATGTATAAAGCAGATTAGGTCTGGGTTTAAAAGTCTACTGGCAGCACCAGAATTGAACTCAAAATAGAAATGAATGATTTATTAACTCCAATTTTTCTTTCAGGACATGTGCACATCACAGATTTCAACATTGCCACGATACTGACTAAAGGGATGCAGGTCACCACGATCGCTGGCACAAAGCCATATATGGGTAAGAATTCATAAAGATCTAGGCTACTTAAATGGCCATTCTTTGTTTAATATCTGCCCTTAATTCAAGGGATATATGAGGATAGAAGTGAAATCCTTTCAGAAAGTTTTAACTTTTTCCACTCCTGCCAGGTAGGAATGCTGTGGTTTTGAGTGAGATAAGCCACAGATGGAAAGAGGAAGATTCTTTTTGCCAGAAATTTTTTGTCTCCTATCTGTGAAATATTTTCTCATACAGATTTAGAATTGGGATCCATAGAGTGATTAACTATCAAAAAAAGTGGGGAGCCAGGAGAGGCCTGCTGGAGGCACTAATTTCAGTGACACTATTGTCATGCTACAAGGCCTTGTTCAAGTTTCTTGTGCCCAAGTCAGATGAGTGTTAAATAAAATTTTGCTCTATGCATTTTACAAATTTTAGTTAAGCTTCATATCCCCTCTATGAGGAGGGTACTATATGTATGATTATCCTCATTTCATAGCTGGATAAACTGAGGCACAGAGCTGAATTAGGCTGTCTGTTACACCGGTGTAATGACTCAATCCTGCAAAGGGCTGAACATCACCTGTGTGTGTTGAGCATGGACTGAGTACCTTGCAGAAGCTGCTCAGAGGCACCTCTCGTGATTGGGGTCTCAATCTGAACTAACTACACTGAAGTTCATAGTGTTACTCTGGATTTAGACCAGCTGTAATGGCAAGCAGAATTTGGCTTGTAGAACTTGCATGAGCTGCATCGATCAAATAGCATGCCAAGGGAAAGAATGCAGGATCTTACGCTGTAAATTACGTTGGCATATAAACCCATGTAAGAAAGGGATGAATCAGGCTCCAGGAGTCCTGGGTGCTAATCCAGTGCTTTACCACTAGCCCAATATCCTCTGTTTAACATTGTATTCCTTTGCAAATATAAAATTAAAAGGACAAAGAAAAGCCAGTGTGGCTGCACAGTAGTATATAGACATTAAGATAAAAAATGCACTACACTTATATATAGGGAGCATTGGATAGATGCAAACATCACAGCCACAACTGGCAGGAAAGTAATGAGAATGGTTTTCGATCTCATTTTGAAGATTCCCTTTTTAAATTATCAACAGGGTAAATATGAATGGATTTGTGCCCATCTGTACCAAACAATCAGCCCAGCTGCAGTCTAGAAACTGAGGTGCACAAGGGAAAAAGCTTGAAAATAAGCCGGAGGGAAATAAGGGCCAGCAGGATGAATCAGTTCCCTAGTGCGCAGCACATTTGTGCACTGACCTTCTGCACGTGTTAAGTGTTATGCTCTTGCTAGGAAAATGTGGTGAAAATCTTTGGGTTCCCATTGTGCTGGTAGCAGGGTCGGTTGCCATGGTGACAGAGGGAGTAGGGACACCATTTTTTTTCTTCTGTCCTTGGTTAGGAGAAAGAACAAATGTCCACAAATATTGCATTATTGCCCTATAGAGAGCACAAGGCACTAATTTGGTCCCAAGCTAAGTAAAGTAGCAGGGCTACTGTGTGTATGAGTGAGGAATGTTGCTGTCTAGTGGTGGGGCCACAAAGTAGATCAGTGGTTCTCAACTGGGGTCTCCTGGGGGGCCACGAGCAGGCTTCGGGGGGTCCATCAAGCAGGGCCAGCATCAGACTCACTGTGGCCCAGGGCAGAAAGCTGAAGCCCCACTGCATGGGTCTGAAGCCGAAGCAGCTTTGCTTCATGGGGCTCCCTGTGGTATGGGACCCCAAGTAATTGCCCTGTTTGCTACCCCCTAATGCCAACCCTGGCTTTTATATGCAGAAAGTCAGTTGTTGTGACACAGGTGGGCCACAGAGGTTTTATAGCTTGCTCAGAAAGAAAAAGGTTGAGAACCCCTGAAGTGATAAGACTTGTTGCTACTACTACTCACTATAGGAGCTACTTTAGATCAAGGAGCAGCGCCCTCAATTTTTGAGGTTGAAGGAACAGGGTTCTAGTCTTGGTTCCCTGGATACCTATGACGTTTATACAATAATGGTGTCTACTATATATGGTTTTACTACAGTGGAGGCACACACTAGAATCAGTTTGTTCATTTAAGCCAGACTGAGTATTTTTAAAATGTAGCGTGCAGGGCTGGAGGTGAGTATTCCCTGCCACTGATGGGAATCGGTTCCATGTCTGGATATTGCTAAACTATCACTGCCACAGATACTGTTTCTTTCTTCATCTTAATGCCATTCAGAGCAAACTCTTATGTCTTTGGAATGTACCAGATCACACCAATAGCACAGAGTATTACACATTTTTTCTCCATGTGGAATGATATTCCAGCTGTCACTAAAAAGGCTGCATCTATAACCTCCCTCCAAATCTCCTCTGTCTACCTACCCACTCAAGTTTGGGTGTATGGAGCAAAAATACCCAGTCTGTTTTTCAGACAGAGCTTGCTTACTATTCTTGCTGCTGCAGAAGTTTCATCTATTGATTTTCCCCTGCCACTAATGCAGAAAATTCTTACTTATACCTCTTTAATTGCCAAACCAGTAAAATACCTGGCTATTCAGAGACAAGAGGAGCCTGATTTTGACATCACTTTTATATAGTGTTGCCAACATTGTATTTCAAAAATAAGGGACTGTTTTCTTAGCACCCCTGCTCCACCCCTCTTCCCAATATTATCATCATCAACAATAAATAATAATCCTAAGCAGTACTCACCTACATTCACCAGAGGTATTGCTTGCTGCTTTTTGCAGTCCTCAGCAACTCCCAATCTTGTTGTACAGAGATGAAAATAAGGGACATCCCATGTAATAAGAGACTGTTGCAATCCCACTTTGTATGGGTGAAGTCAGAGGGGTTACACTAGGGTAACCCCACTGTAAGTAAGAGGAAAATCTGACCAACAGTGCACAGGAAATGGCTGACAAAAGAAGGTGCCAGAACTGGGGCAGTTTGAACTGAGAGGTTCCTTATTTAAAGTTAAGAAGTTATCTGTAAAATAGGCTATAAATCTGACCAACCATAACAGTCATGAAAGCATTTCACTGCAGATAGCACAAGGACCCTCACCTCACACAGCAAGGATGGTCTGTACAGGAAAGTTAAAGCATTATCTAAGGTTTTCCCCTTACTGCTGCCATCCCATCATAATTATTCCTTCCCTCCATGGGAGGCTCCTTTTATTAGCATAACAGAGCTGACCTTTCACCCTTCAGATCACCTGACTCAACCCTGTAGTATAAAAAGAAACATACAAACAAATCCCCCGCACCAGATTTCCCCCTTTGTTTTGTTTTATTCCTTTGACACTGATCCTCACCCTCCACCCCCTAAAAATATCACAGCATTTTCCTTAATCTTTCACATGGAGCTAATAAGGTCAGGTCATCTTCTGACCCTGCCCTACTTCCTATCAGGCTAGCAGCTTTCTACTATAAAAGCAATGGCTGTTGGGCCCATGCCCAGCTAGAAGTCACTCCTTGCTTTCCAGAAATATAGCTTGCATTAGGTCCATGTGTGTATCTCCCAAATGCAGTGTTTACAATTTACCCTTTTAAGTTCTGCTAGACAGAAAGTGTTTTTGGATTCAGATAAAGGAAAGAGGATATGAAGGAGGAAATTAGCTGACCTCTCAAATAAAAAAGGTTGAGACGGCTCTAACTTGAGAGTGAGGACATTTCCTGCAGGATAAAAAGAGAGGATAGCTGGGTCAATATTAGCCTTGGACTTGATAGAGCAGGGTTCAGTTCCCTCCTCTGACACAGACTTGCTTGGGGAAGACATGGAGCCTCTTTATGCCTCAGTTCCCCATACGTGAAATGGGAATAATAGCACTGCCCTGCCTCACAGGGGCTTGGCATGTTGGGAGGACAAATATATTAAAGATTGTGACGTGATCAAATATTATGGTGATAGAGGCTATATAAGAACCTAAAATAGATTGAATTCCCACCCCCTAGTCAGTTACGTAATATTAGAAAACTAGTTTAACCCAATGAGTGGCATAATTCTTAGGAGACATACAAACACTTTGTAACACCAAATTAATTAATTTTTTTATCTATTATACATTGAGTGTTTAAATAATACTTTGTATTTCTCCATCCAAGGCTCCCAAGACTCTTACATCCATTAATGGATGTAATCTCACAACACCCCTTTAGGGTAAGAAAATAGTAATAGTCCTATTTCCCATATGAGAGAAACTGAGGCAGGGAGGCGCTAAAAGTCTTGTCTAGGATCACAGAGCAAGTCAGTGACAGAGGATACTTCACACTAATCCTGTTTATACTGTCCATATCATTAGATTGCAAAGTCCAAATATTAATATGTGTTCAATTCTCAGTGTAGACATATATGAAAAGTTGGGTCAAACTATTAAATGAGTCAGATGCTGGTTCCACACCAAAGTGCAGTAATTTCCTAATGGATGGGAATTGGCCTCAAGTAATCATCCCACGGAAACTACAAATAGTAACAGTGACACATTATATAGACCTTGTCATGTAATGACCCCAAAGCATTGTATAAACATCAGCATTTAACTTAGCCTCCCACCATGATTTTTGAAGTAGCTAAATATTACTGTAGATTATGAAACTGAGGCCAAGAGGTTAAGTCATTTCCCCAAGGTTAATAAGCATAGCAATGGCAGAGCTCGGAAAAGAACTGTATCTAGGTGATAGGAATCCCAACCAGCCTGATACTGTCATCGCTTGTTAAAAACCAAAAAATAATCAAGTGAAAGACTGGGCAAAGGGGAACAAATTAAATATATGGTAAATAGAACAGTCTGGAATGCTTTTCACACCTTGGGACTGAAACATTATATACTGCTGAAAATAGTCAATGATTACTGTTTGAGACTCTGAAATAAAGCAAACAATTTTTTTCTGTATTTTTCAGCGCCAGAGATGTTTAACTCAACAAAACCTACAGGCTATTCCTTTGCTGTTGACTGGTGGTCTTTAGGAATTACTGCCTATGAGCTACTTAGAGGCCGGGTATTGTACATACAGCTGCATTCATTATTTGTTTGGGTTTTTTGTTTTTACTCTTTACTGTTTTCAATACTGTATTGAAATAATAAGTGCTTTTTAACAGGGATGAAAAAAGGACGAGTAGGAATCTGGGCTTTAAAATCTATTATAAAACAGGCAGCAGAAATCAAATCTCCATCAAGATTCTTGTGATGGACTCATAAGAATTCAAAAAGAAACCACTGCAGTGCAGAATAACTCAGGGTGACAGGTTCTTGGAGTGTCCAACGCCCTGTCAGTTAACATAAGTTAGGCAGTAAAAACTGAGCCATCTAATTGATGGATAAGAATTCCAAAAGCAGGGACTGTAATAGAATTTAATCTGAGCTCAGAACACGCAAGAAAAAAAAATTAAAATCATTTTACTATTGCATTAAGGCTCTGCAGTCTGAGCAAACATGAACCACTGTGTGTGAATTATTAATACAACACTATTCATGCCCTGTCATGCCTCAGTCTTTGGCTGTAATTTACTTGCAAAGTTTGGTGCATCTTGGAGAAGTACTTTTAAACAATTTTGTAAAAATAGGTGGGCAACATGGAAAGTTGCTTAGCATGAAATAAGCTGTATTTTCCAAGCAAAAAGATTACATAACAGTTTGTGAGATTAAAAAAATACTCTTCAAATAATATTTACATGTCCAGCATATAGCACTTTTTATCTTTTAAGAAAGCTGTGTGGGCAGAATGTATTTTAATTCATATCTATATATAAACTGATCTAAATTTTAAAGTGAATTTTGGGTGGCTCAAGTTTTGGGTCCCAACTTGGACAGGTTAAAAGGATATGGTTCTCAGATGTGCAGTGCACCCTTCCTGCAGCCGAGCACTCAAAACCAAAATCTCTAATCACTTTTGAAAATGTAAGTAATATATACTCACTTTATAATTAGAAAATAAAATGGATTGCGACACTGTTGCACTTACTATTCCAAGGTGTAGAATAGTAAGTGTTATTTCCAAATCTAGGTGTAGAAAATACTGCAGTATATTCAAACATCCATAGCACAGCAAATTGATGATATTAGTGGTGACCACAGTATAATGTGATAAACTTTTATAGGAAGACTTGAGTTCCCCAGCATTGTTTGCAAATATTCAGTATAATGCATCTGTTTCCACATATTAATTTGTATCTGCTCACATATATTTTTAAATGAACTCTTATTGTCAACATACACCTCTACCTCGATAGAACGCTGTCCTCGGGAGCCAAAAAAATCTTACCGCGTTATAGGTGAAACCGCGTTATATTGAACTTGCTTTGATCCACCGGAGTGCGCAGCCCCCCCCTCCCCCCGGAGCACTGCTTTACCGCGTTATATCGGGTCGCGTTATATCGAGGTAGAGGTGTATTTTAATAAAAGTCTGGGAATTAAAAAAACTTCAAAAACAAAATTATACAGCAATCCTTCCCTTGTATATACAAACTTCCCTTATTAATTTCAAGTTAAATGTTGAGCTGCATGTAGTTGCACGTACCAGTCAGATGTGCAATTGGTCTACATGCATTGTTACTGTGATTGTGCTTTGCCTGCTCGGTTGCACTTTTTTTTTTTCTGGAAAATTTAGACTTCACACGCTCCAAGGTGCAACATCCTCTCCATCTTGCATATGTATCCTAAAGGTCTGTGGCCAGAATTCAGGTTGGCATCTAAAATGAAAGTGAAGCGTCCATTTATTCCTACCTCTAGGACATTCACCATGCATAAATGAACAGCCCTTCTGCATCCTGAGCCAAACCTGTGAAACTCTGTTCAACTACCTCTGCTATGAGGTGTTATTTTTCAAATTGTTCTTTTTTCCCTTTGCTGCTGTTGTTATCTTTCCAAAGGAAAGAAGAAGCAGAGAGAAAAACCACTAGCCTCTACCTTGTCAATATTATCTCAAACTTGAGAAATGAACAGAAAATACCATTTACATTTAACAGAGAATGTTGAGAAAGTACTGGCCTTTGCAGTACCAGTAAATTAATTTCACTTTAATGGCCTTTTTAAGTACAAATACTGGCTTTGTCAACGAAATACCAGCTGGGTAACAGCTCTACCCTTTGCTTTTCCCTCCTATTCATCTTGCTGTTCAAATGTCTCATTATTATTATTTGTTATTATTCAGTCCTGTAGTAATCTATTTACTTCAATTGAGTTAGCCTCTGCAGTGACTGACTTTCAATGGTTCAATCTAGAGCAGCAATGGGGGGGCTTGGAGAATAGCACAAAGAGACTCTGTTTGGAGACTTCTTGCCCTAGGAAGATTTCCAAAAGATTTTTTTTTTTTAATGAAATGGTTTCCTTGTGTTTTTCACAGAGGCCCTATCACATTCGCTCCAACACATCGACAAACGAAATTGCTCACGTGTTCAAGACGGCTACTGTCATGTATCCTGCTGCTTGGTCTAAAGAAATGGTGTCGCTACTCAAAAAGGTGAGGGCAGGTGGGGAAACGGGATAACTCAGGGGAATGACTATATTCACATCTAAGAGGGCATTGCGCTCACTGGCCCTTGGATTACTCCTTAGGTGTCCAGTGCAAATCTGGTCCAGGTCAGTTCCAGTGTTAGTGACTTTCTCATGGCTCTTGGTGCCCTCTTTAAAATGACTAAAGGTATCCACACTGATATAATCACTATCTGGAAGCCTTACTGACCGTGTCACCTCCAGGTCAGGGTACATTGAGGGCCCAGTAACAGGGAAGCTTGCACTGGTGTTGCCCCTGTTCTCAGGATATATGCAGGATCAGCGTCCTTCAGACTGGCCCAGTAGCCTTTGTCCCTCTGAAATCATCGTTGGGAATTAGAGAGAGAATGAAATAGAGATGGTCAAAATTTTTCACACGAAACTTTCTATTTTATTGAAAAAAACATTTTTTCCTAAATGCAAACTTTTCACAAAAAATGCTGATATTCTCACTTTGTTCCATTTCCCATATCATTTTCTGAAACCGTTTTTCTCGATTTTCACTGACATTTTTATCAACATTGTTTTCAAAATTGTTATAAAAACTGTTTGTTAACCTAAACCCTTGATTTCTTACTGAAGGCAGGTTTTCAGGAAACAAAACATTTGATAAGGATTTCAGAAACCATTTGAATAACAGTCTTAGCAGAAAATATCATGAAAAAGGGTAACTAGTCCATTTTGAACCCTGCTAAATGGGGACGTCAACATTTTGAATGATTCCCCATTTACAGTCACATTCTGAGACCTATCAGTTAGCCAGCTTTTAATTCACTGAATGTATGCCATGTTAATTTTATCTCATTCTAGTTTTTTTTAAATCAAATTGTTGTATGGTACCACATTAGATACCTTTATAGAAGTCTAATTATATTATATCAACAGTTTTGCCTTTATCAACCAAACTTTTGTAATCTCATACTATCAAAAATATAATCAAAAAATATATCAAGTTAGTTTGACAGGATCTATTTTCCATAAACCATGTTGATTGGCATTTAATTCTTTATTAATCAAATCCCATATCAGCTGCTACATTATCTTTCCTGGAATCAGTGTCAGACTGACAGGCCTACAATTACCTCGGTCATTCTGTTTACCCTTTTAAAATATTGGCACAACACTAACTTTCTTCTAGTCTTCTGGAGCAGCCCAGTGTTCCCAAACCTATTGAAAATCAACATTAACGGTCCAGTGATCTCCTCAGCTAGCTCTTTGGAGCTCTTGGATGCTCGTTATCTGGACCTGCTGATTTTAAAATGTCTAACTTTAATAGCTGCTGTTTAACATCTTCCTGAGATGCTAGTGGAATGAAAAGAGTGTTATATGATATTACTACATCTTCTGTTTTTTCACAAGTACAGAACAGAAATATTTATTGAACACTTCTGTCTTTTCTGCATTATTATTGATGATTCTACCATGTCCATCTAGTAGTAGGCCAATACCAGTGTTAGGATTCTTTTTGTTCTTAAAGGTCGAGGTATGTCCCTCTTCATCATCTGCTATGCTGCATGTGTGGACACTTCTGACTCAGGATATGAATCCCAGGCTGCTTATTCCTCCACTTGCCCTGCTGCAGCAAGTGTTCTGCTGGTGATAGATTAGTTAGCCTCTGTTCTGTCCACAGCACCACGCCATTGGAGCACATAACTCTGTAACCTTTGGACCGCTTGGATGTTCTCTCTGTCTCTCTCATACGCACACAGGTCAGACACTAACATTAATCACCTCTACGGAACCTGTCTTCATGCCTCAATGCTCACTGCTGCTGCCTGTGAGGCCCCAATTTATGACCGCTCTCTCTCTCTCCCTCCAGTTTACAGTCCCCCATCATAGCATACTCCCCAGTCCTTGCTCTCTGCTGCCTGTGTATCTGTCCGTTATTACCAGGAGTTTTGGGAGTGGAAGGGGGCGGGGGGGAAGGTTTAGTGCACTTGTCCTTTTGAGTATAATTTTTGCCAGATTTCTCTGGCCAGCTCCTCGGAACGCTAGGACCCAGAACTTGTTAGCATTTCTCGTTCTATCCACACTACCGATGCCTTTAGCTACCTGAAAGAATGAATTTCTTGAGACCAGTATTTCCAAAGCCTGTCTGCCTCAGATGCTTAGTGATGCTGTTCTACCTGATAACTAGCCCTACATATGAATAACTAGCCCTACATATGAATAACTAGCCCTACATATGAATAATAAAAGAATCCCTAGCATTTATGACAATATTTCTTCCTAAAGACTCAGGGTACGGTTATCCCCACCACTGAAATAGACGTGGGCTAGGCTGTAGACATGGGAACAATTCTTCATTGGAAATGGAGCACAGCAGTGTTTTTATGAGGAAGATTGAAAAATATTCATTTAATTAAAATTAAATGGGAGAATTTAGGAAAGAGGAATAGTTAATACCTGAGCTAGAGTTTAACCAGGCCAAATAGCGACACAGGGATCTTTATGCAGACGTCCTTTGTATTTCTATATATTTTTACCTTTGCTGGAAGTTTTATCCTGAACCACAACATGCTGTAAATCCCACAGGCTACCTCTTGAATTAATAATGCAGTGTCACAATTTATTTAAATTTCCATGTGCCCCTTTGTATCTGGTTTAGCATCAATATTATATATGAGGCCAACTGGGATGTTAAGTTTTGTCCCGTTCAAATATCTCAAGTGAATTTCATATTAAGGTTCAATGCGTTTGATCATTGGCAACAGACCCACATTACTTGCATTTTGTGTTTAAGCACAGTACTTGGAATGGGGAAAATGAATTGTGAGTGATGTTTACGCTCAGCCTGCATATCATTCACACTCTGACAGTATAGATTTTGCACCTCCACTTTATATCATTCACACTCTGGTTGCAAGCGCTAATGCTAAAATGGTGTTTCAAGTTGTCAGCTTATTCATTACATTTGAGGAAGTGTTTTTATGGGGTTATTTTAGAATGTGCTACCAGAAGTTCTTGCAATCTTGAACCACAGAACTTGAAAGACACAATTCAATCGCTAACTTGTATTATAGATAATATGAAAAATCCCCACTGGATTCATTGAGAAACGTGAAGACAAGTAGGACCCTGCCATGGTTTTATAGACTCATAGATGTTAGAAAGGGAGGATGGTTCAGTGGGTAGGGTATTAGCCTGGAAATTGAGAGACCTGAGTTCAGTTTCCTGCTCCATCACAAATTACCGTAGGCAAGTCATTTAATCTTTCTTTGCCTCAGTTCCCCATCTCTAACGTGGGGGTAATGGCCCTTGCCTACCTCACAGGGGCGTGTTGTGAGGATAAATCCACTGAAGGTTGTGGGGTGCCTAGATACAATAGTAATAGGAACCATCTGCATACCTCAGTTAAATAAATATTAAGACAGCCAGTTGTTTCCTAACAATATAGAGCACAATTCATTGTGACTTCCACTGGTGTCCTTGGCAGACTCTGATACAGCCTAATAGAGCTCACAATTAAAAACTTTTCTTAATATCCATACCCTGCATTTTTTTGCATCCCATTTCTTTAATTATACCCCCTTATTACCACTCTAGCCAGTCCCTCTGCCGCCCTGGTGTTAACTAAGTTTTCTGTGCTGTGATTAGATGTGTCTTCTTTGGAAAGATACCTTTTGATCTGCAGTTTCCAATTTCACTGTTGTGTTGGAGACAGGAGAATAAAATGCCAAATACACATACATTTTCAGTAGAGTTTGGTGGGGAAGTGGAGTGAGAAATCAGATCCAAATACCGAGAAAGTGAAGATGAAGCTGGTCCCACAGGGATTTTATTTAAACTGGAGAGAGGGGGGAAAGAAACATTGTAGAACCTGTTCCATTTTTCTGAGTTTCCCTGTGAAAGAAAAGAACCTGTTAAAACAGAGCACTTTGGATGACTTGTTCACACTCAAGGACATCTGGTGACATCTCGGTGGATGCGCCGCTTAACTTGCTAATAAGAAAGAACTCACTGAGTCGTTACTAAAGGAAAATCTTCAGTTGTAGCCAAGTAAGCAGCCCAGTTGAAAAGTCATTAGCAATGAGATTACTTTGGCTCCGATGCTGGAGTCTGTGTGTCGCACCCTGGACTGGGTGATATGTGGGACCAGAGAATGGACTGAGATCTCTGTGCTGTGAGCTTCAGGCCAGCACAGATTAAACGACATGGCTTCTGACCAAGATTAAAAAAAGACCCTGCGCTAAATGTGTACTGATCTGTAATGCCAGGTTGCTAACACAACACTCTGGAGTGGTGCTGGTGACTCTTCCTGCTTGTACAGGCGGGTGGATGCCTGGAGCCATTGTCAGGCTGTTTAACTCTTACAATATACTCTCAATGGGAGGGTTAAGGTTAACTCTGCCCATCCAGGCACTGCAGTCAGTTACGACTGCCCGAAAGCTAATGGAGAATGGAATCTTAACTAAGAAGAGGAGGGGGAGAGTGGACAGAGTTAGGGTCAAAGACGTAGACAAGGGGCTACATTGTGCTGTTAGGCACCACTTTTAAGAGACTGGGCGGTGCATAAACTGCCAAACCAAGAGTAGCCCTCTTTGAGGCACCACTCCCGCCCTGCTACCCTCGTGCTTTGGGAATGGAGGAAATAATTTGCCATTGGCCTACAGCATAACAAATTACATCACCACCCAAACCAACTCAACTCTGCCAGCTGCTGTGTTGGGGAGCAGGAGAAGAACTCTGCCCATTCCCCTCTCTCCCTACCCACTTTATTGTGTGGTCTATAGTCAATAACAATGTAGCCTAAATTCTGTGCTCTTCCTACACATTGATAGATAGCAAATAACATTGATATTCGTGGTATCAACGATAAGCTTGAGGGTGTGCTTGTGTGTATATATTCCTATATAAACACAGATTGTTGCTCTTCAGAACGTTTCAATTTCCTTTATAACTACATAGCATTACTACTGTAGTATTTGAAGCATTCCCTAGGTATTCACTGAATAAAGAGAATAGGGTGAATATCATGGGATCAGTATCGAGCTAAGGCAAAATTGGTACATTTTAAAAAGGCAACTGCTGTACATATAGACAGATATAGATTCACAACCATGTGATTGATATATATACACACACACACCCTTTTTCTCCTGATTGACTTCCCATGGCCTGGTGTGTGAACTATTGTGTTTAATTCCCATTGCCAGTTGCTTGAACCAAATCCTGAGGAACGTTTTGCTCAGCTGAAAGATATCCAGGACTTTCCGTATCTGGCTGATATTAACTGGGATGCAGTCCTACAGAAGAGGATAATGCCAGGATTCATTCCCACTGTAAGGCAATTTTTAAAAAAAACAACAACATCGTTTAGGATGTCTACACAATCAGAGTAACCTCCTATACACTGCACCTGATTCTCCACTACTTTGCACTAGATCAGAAAAGTAATGTACTTTTGCACACACTTTGCACAGGTATATATGACTACACAAGGTGCAAGGCAAGGGAAAATCCAGGTGAGAATTTTCATTTTATGATTAAGACTATTAAAGGGATAATTACCAATGTTGGATGCTCACAATTTGTATTATTGTTAGAGTTGGTAATGTCCTCATTAATTCTCTGTCTGTGTATTCAGAAGAAGTGCTCTAATGCACTTACAAGAAACCCTGTATTTTCAAACCTGTTTGCAGAGAATTCAGTGCTTGTAACCAACCGTATAATAACAAACTAGCATGCCTATCCGCTGTGCTTATGAGCAACCCTGCAGTAACAAACTGCTGTGAGCAACCGTGCTTGTGATCATTCTACAATTTAAAAAAACGTGCACAGCCCAGAACTTTCAGATAACCCTATGCGTATAACTTGGTTCTTGCCAGCCACTTTAGAATAGCCGCTTATCCTGACAAATGACCCTTGATAACAAACCAATGCATATATACCTAAGGAAGAAAATCATAATTATGGAAAGGAATACTCTAGATTTCTCTTTGAAGCATCCAAAGAATCAGTATAAACAACAATGAATAAATGAGAGAGTGATTTTTAGAATGATGCAATGTACCTTGACAGTGTCCTTCTAACCGAGGGGAGTGATAAAATATGTAAAAGGTTCAGCAGGAGCTCTGGCTAGGTTATTGTTGTTGGTTTATTCATTAGAGAGTTATTTCCCAGGTTCTTTCCTGTTTGTAAGAGCCTCTTCAAGGCAGGGTCGATTCAGCTAAGGTGACCTTTCTCTCCTCTATAGAAAGGTAGACTGAATTGTGACCCAACCTTCGAACTTGAAGAAATGATCCTGGAGTCCAAACCTCTTCATAAGAAAAAGAAGCGCTTAGCTAAGAAGGAGAAAGATACCAACAAAAGCTATTCCTCACAGGTGAGAGAGAAAGAGAGGCTGGTACCTACAGTCTTGGACATTCCTTTCTTTGCACAAAAATCCTCTTGATATTTCATATGGATGCAGCAAAATGCAAACGTGTAAATAGTCTGATTGTTGCTGTTGGGATGGCTTTGTTCACAAAACCTCTCTGTACTAGTGACAGAATATGTACCAGGGACAGCATGATATTGTAATATGAACATTAACTTGTGCATAAATCTCTTTCCTAAATCTCTATCTTAATTATGTAATTTTGATGTTTCATAACATAGATTTTGCATTTAATTTCCTTTATAAAAAGTCAGAAGAGGGGGAAAAAGGAATTGCCTGTGGTGGCTAATGTTCGGATTTAAACAGTCTCAGATGGCTCTGAATTTCAGGGAATGGAGTACGGGAAGGACTAGTTTCTGACTTTGCTGCTGATAATGTTTTGCTGGAGATAATTTACTGCAAGACTGGGTCAGAGTGGTAGGAAATGGTGTCGCTCGAGTTTCTCACACCTGGGCACAAGTCAGAAAGATGTTTTGCAAGCTTCTTCCAAGCAGCGCTTCCAAGGTACCAGCAAACTCTTACGACTCCCCCACTATTCCAGACCTTGGCCTCTCTGCAGCCAACATGGCTCCATTATGCTAAGCTTGCAGCAGGATTTGCAATGTGGGCAAATCTTCATTATGGGCTAGGACAGGGGTAGGCAACCTATGGCACGCGTGCCAAAGGCGGCACACAAACTAATTTTCAGTGGCACTCACACTGCCCGGGTCCTGGCCACCAGTCCGGGGGGCTCTGCATTTTAATTTAATTTTAAATGAAGCTTCTTAAACATTTTAAAAACCTTATTTACTTTACATACAACAACAGTTTCGTTAGATATCATAGACTTATAGAAAGAGCCCTTCTAAAAACGTTAAAATGTATGACTGGCATGCGAAACCTTAATTAGAGTGAATAAATGAAGACTCGGCACACCACTTCTGAAAGGTTGCCGACCCCTGGGCTAGGATCAGACCACCCACAACCTCATTTTCAGTTGAGATCAAACTAAACCAGACATTAAGTCTATGTCTCAGGAAGTGGAAAGCCAGTTTTTAAGGCACACAATGCACCACCCAGTTTATTTGTAAGATGCTGAAGGCCAGTTTGGGGTAGGAGCCTGTCCTTCCTTTCAATTCAGTCATCTAAAAGGTGAAGTGTTTCCAAGGCCACATTTAGACTAGGAAAATCAGTTGTGTTTAAAACATGTTGACAGGTCATGATAACATTAGGAGGGAGCCTAACGAAGCCCTAGAGTGAAATCCGGGCCCCACTGAAGTCAATGTCAAAACTCCCATCAACTTCTGTGTGACTGGAATTTCTCCCCTGCATAGATGCCATAGGGCTTTGTTAAAGCTGAAGTCTCCCTTATCCCTCTTCTATGATAAAGATCTTCTAAGTAAATAGAATTGGATTCTTTAAAAATTAAGTTATTTTAAAGGTCAGCTGAATCTCTGAGCATCTTAAATATTTTACCATGGCCTGGGATAAGAGCTCTTTCATTTACAAAACTTTTCCTTTTTAATACTCTTCATCAGTGGAAGCAAAAGCAGCCTGATCCCCACTCCTTCTGAATCAGCTGTGCAGAGTGAATGTTGCCAGCAGGTTGAGTGCAGCCAAGAGGCAGCAGAACCCTGTAGAATGTGTTGGGTTTTGTGAAAAACCTAGGAATTTGGAAAGTTTATTCCAAAAACATGTTATTATTTTTTAAGTAAAATTTCTCAAGAAACAAAATAAAACAGTGTTTTCTAAGGAGGCTGGTTTGACTGACAACCTATGGCATTAAACAGCAATGGTCTCCCTAGATGTGATAGTGGGTCATGCTTTGGTCTTCGCTGCACCCTTCCCCTCTCTTCTCATCTCTGGCACCCATCTCTTTCTTTGCTGTCAGGACTCTGCCTGCTTCTCCTCTCTTTGTCTGCATATCACCTCCCTGCTATAAAAGGCCTTTCTTTCCTCCCTCCGAACCCGCTACCGGTTTCCTCCTTTTAAAGGTATAGGTTCCCCTGCGCACACTTTCCCTTGCTGTAGGCCTCATTCTTTTAGGACCTTGAAAGGTAGGAGGTGTGAGGTGGAAGTGTCTGCAGCGATCATCTTTTTGGCTCCCATTCCTTTTTGATGGGAGGACTCTTTGAGATCAGAGGTTGAGGAGGAATGTACTGTCTGGGCAGTTTTCTCAGAAGCATCTTTAAATAAATGTAGTTTATAGTAGTTCAAAACTTCGTGTGTGAGGTAAACATTACAATATACTTCATGAAGACCAGGGGTGAAAGTAAAATTGAGCTCTTACTGGTACAGGGCTGGCTCTCCCCTCGCCCCTCCCCCCTGGAAGGGGCGGGGCCTCAGGCAGAAGGGGCGGGGGCGGGGGCCAGCGTCCCCCAGCCAGTCCATCTGCACTGCCTGGCCCGTGCTGCCAGGGGCTCCAGCCGTGATTTAAAGGGCCCAGAGCCCCACGCCCTTTTAAATCACCGGCCCCAGGGCAGCTGCTCCTTTTTGCCCCCCCTTCACCCTGGCTGTGGGGGCAAAAGGGGCAGTGACATTAAAGCGCTGCCGCGGCAGCACTTTAAAGTCAGTGGTACGGGCTGGTACCGGCGGGCACATTTTACCAGTGCGCCGTACCAGCTCGTACTGCCTTACTTTCACCTCTGATGTAGACCATGGCTATAGGATTTTCTAGGGCATTTTATGTCTGCTTTACCGGTTTTCTTTGTGCATTTAGGTCTGGAGTTTACTGACACTAGTATTCATTCAGGGAGACCCTCAGGGTTAAGTTCGTTGTCAGCAGGCAGTGACAAAACCCAAGATATCTCTACTGTTCAAATCACTACCAGTGTGTGTGTGTGTGTGTGTGTGTGTGTGTGTGTGAATGATGGCTCTGAGGACTGCAGCTGTATGAAGGAAGCAACAGCTGAGCATAATGCTCAGAGGAAATTAAAAGTGAAATGCAAGGTTATGAATTCTTGGGGTTGCATTAAACCAGAGCCTGTGTCATACATAGCAAGGAGCGGTGCACTGTTGCTCACGGCTTCGGGGAGTGCTAGAGAGGAGTCTTTTTAAGGAATCATGTCAGTGTCTGACTTGTACAAATGGTTCAAAGAAGGCATTTGTCACTTTTTTCCTTTTACCATGCGACAGTGACTGGAATGCAGGTGGTGTCTGGTGGCCCAGTGAAACGCTGTCTCTGAGGTGAATGAAGCAGCCAAACTCCAGAGCTATCAGAACCGATCTTGCCAGTCAGAGTTAGGGCTCGTAAATGTTTTATTTGCCTTCAGGCAGGTTTTTCCCCCCCTTTGTTTGTAGTCTGTGTGTGTGGCTGCTGATAGACAGTGATAGAATGGAGTAGGTGTGACACTGATCCTGGCCTGAGGCTTGCCCACCTCTTCCATCAAGCTTCACTGAGCCCAAATGAGGCAGGCTCTCGACAGAGCTCCGTCACCTGGCCACAGCAGAAGGAAATCTGGCTTTCCATACTAACGCTTTGCCATCCATCCTAGGTGCTGAAAGCACTTGACCAGCATTAATGAAACCTCCCAGCACTCCTGGGGAGTGGGTATCATTCTCCCCACTTTACAGATGGGGAAACCACAAGCCAGAGCTGGGAACAGAACAGTTTTGAAACAAGGCCTGCACATAACTAACTGCATGAATCTATTTCCATTGCTCCTTTTCCCTCACCTACCACTTGGAGCTCTCACATGTTGTGCCCTGCCTACCCTTAAGCTGTCAGCTCTTCAGGGCAGGGAAAAATGTCTCTGTGTGTATTTTGTAAGGGGCCTAATGCCCTGTGATTAAATGGCAATCACAATAATGCGAACCCCCTAATTCTCTGCTTTAGACACAAGACTGCTCCTCCTTACATCTCTCTTTATCTAATGAAAGAGGAGAGAGAAGAAGGTAGGGCTTTCTGTACATTTTCAGCTCCCATGCTGCAAATTCTCTCTTTCAGACGAGAGGTAAAACGGAGGCCTCGGTCGCTTATCATTATGAAAGATACCAATGGCACAGTTGGGACTATTGAGGAATATCAACCGGTCTGCCTTGGGGAAATTCTAGTTTGGGGATTTAATCTTTTGCTAACTTCAAGTGCCTCCTGTAGAATCAACTGCTGAAATAGTTCTTCCCAACTTCCTGGCCAAAACAGTTGTGTGGTTTTGCTTGTGCGGTTCAATCATGCACCTTATTTCCCTTCCCTAAAAGCGTGTGGGAGGTATTTCAGGAATGGATGGAGGGATCCCTCTATACATTCTGTAAGGCATTTTGGGTTCACCACAGCATTAACTCAAGCAATTTATACTTAACGTACTTCTTTTATATTTGCCTAGCACGAGTGAGAAGAGGCAGCCTGCACAATAATTCTCAAGTTGTAATACCCTGCCTCCACATTGGCACTGCTCTCACTCGTGTGTGGTGCTAAGACTTCTGGGGGCACATCCCATGCTTTGTATAGCTGCGGTAAACTGAGCTCTTCTATGAATCCTTTCTCAAAACTGGAGACCTTCTGTGATGGAATAAGCACTGTTGAATATAATACATTGCCCTGATTGCCATTCTTCTACCTGTAGGGGCATACCCATTTATGCCTAATGGATGGGAACACCTCAGGCCAGGTCTACACTACCGCGGTAGTTCGACGGCTGGCAATCGAAGTTCCGGGTTCGATTTATCGCGTCTGGTCTGGACGCGATAAATCGAACCAGGAAGTGCTCGCCGTCGACTGCGGTACTCCAGCTCAACGAGAGGAGTACCGCGGAGTCGACGGGGGAGCCTGCCTGCCGTGTGTGGACCGCGTCTGAACCGCGGTAAGTTCGAACTAAGGTATGTCGACTTCAGCTACGTTATTCACGTAGCTGAAGTTGCGTACCTTAGTTCGAATTGGGGGGTAAGTGTAGACCAGGCCTCAGATACTGTCCTGTGTCAGTTGTGAACTCTAACTGTCCTCGCCTCTGTTTTTTCCCTATTTCAACATGGAAGGGCTGCCGTCTTCAGAAGCACCTGGAGTCACTGCAAAGGGACTTCATTGTTTTCAACAGAGAAAAGTAAGTAGTGACTTAGGAGAAGTGGACCACTCTGGCAGGTTTTTCAGTGTGTTGGTAAGACCTTCGACCCGACTAGCTCTCCATCTGCCCAAACCTCTATAGGGTTCTATTATATTTTAAAAAAAACAGTTGAAATAGCAGTGGAGAGGAGCAGATGTTAGTGAATGTTATTTAATCCAGGATCTGAAGGGGAACGGAGTGACATTTTTACTCATGAGATAAAGGGTAAGGCCCACAGTACTGAAAACTGGAACCCATACTGCCTTAAATTCCTAATGAATTTGGATAAACTATTGTCAGGGAGTGCATGGGATGTTCCCTGATGTTTTTAATGGAATTTATTCTGCATCCATTGATGTTGAATCATATAAACCTCTCCAAACAGGGGACAGGCTGAGGAGGAGATAACCAGTAAATCAATTAAAGAAAACCAAATACCCAGAAGTGTGCTCCAGCTTCATAAACCCCCGAGTGGAGACTGCCTCCCAGTTCTATGCATTAGCCACAGAACACAGCAGGACTAGTTCTACCACATCTAACCGAATCTCTGCCATTACAAGTAACCCCTCATCGTCTGCTCTAGAGCTGAACCTAGAGCCTAGTTAGTATATCTTAAATGAACAAGAATTGAAGTTGGAATAAATTCCATTGAAATGCACTGAACATTAGATGAAATTAACACACCAATCCTATGATATTCCATGCAAATTCATATGATTTTAAGGGTACATGCCTGTAACACTTGCTTACACAAGTAGAACCCATGGAAATCAGAGTCTACTTCTGTAAGTAAGTATTGTTCATGTGAGCAGGGATTGCTGGAGTGGGCCCAAAGTTTGTAATGATCCCCCTGAAGTAGAGCCTCCTTTTCGGGGGACAAAAAGAGCGCTAACTGTGAAATTGCCAGACTTGGCCCACCCAGGAACAGGGGAGAGAATATATTAGGGTGTACTCAGAAAATGGGTGGGGAAGAGTGCTGATAAGGGTGTGCTCAAGACAAGGGCTCAGCGGGCATGGCTGTTGCACTGTGCTAGCAGAAATAATGTAGCTAGCCGAAATGCTGTAGCACTCACTAGAGGAGAAATCGGCTGAAATCAAGCTTATGTATGGATTAAGAATTGACTGGTAAAATACACACCAAGCTGGCGGTGAAACAGGCATACGCTGCTGCCTCATGCTGGCTCTCCCTTGGGTTTTGACTCTTCATTTCTTTTTCTTTTTTTTAAGGATGAGGAGACACCACAATGAAATCCAAGAGAATATAACACTGGCACAAACCAAAGACCCAGAAGAAGAAGACAGCCAGAACAACAACCTCTGAGCTCACTTAGCCTCTGCCCTGGTGTGTTCCCCAAGGGTTCATTGCACACCTACACATGTTCATGGAGCTCGGTGAATAGAATTACCCACTGATAAAAGGACAATGCACATACCCCAGCACGGGGTGTCTAAGCCAGAAATTTGTGCACCTTTCTTTTCCTCCTTCCACCCTAGGTCAGGTGAATACAGGGGACCAGGGAGAGGTCTTTAGTACTGCCCCTGCAAATAACCTGACAAAATTAACAAGAGTCAGATCCTCCTTCTCTGCCGGAGATGGTTGCAGGAATTTGACCACAAGAAGATGTCTCTTTTTCAGACGAGACCCTGAGTGCAGGAAGGAGGAGCTTATCCTTGTGGAGCAGGATGCCTGCTGGCACAACATTTGGGTATTGAGTGCCTAGTGTAAATCTGGGCTAGGGATCAGTTGATTGCCAGTGGGAAGCAACAGAAGGGTATTTAATGCATAATTAGATCTGTCACATAGAATCAATATTAGAGATGAGCCAGCAGCAGAATCACAGACCCAAACTTTTTGGAAGTTTGGATTTTGACATGAGCCTCATAGCTTAGACTCATCTCTAATTGTTAGAGGCAGAAGGGGCTGCTCTCAGCCGCCAGGCAGAAGACAGGATCTTTGCTTCCAGCAAGGTCTTTCTAATATTTCTTTAGTCTGTGGTAGGGAAATGATCTAGTTCCTCAATATGGGGAAAAGGCAATAATGGTTTCTTATGTTTGTTTTGCTGTTTCTGAGTGATGAAATTCCCTAGCTTCCCTGACCTTATGCTGTTGGGCAGGGCTGGCTCAGCAATGGCTAAGAACATGTGAACAATGGGGACTGGTAGGGAAACCTACTCATTTGGGTCAGAAAAGGAAAAGGTAGTAGCTCTGTATGCTGGATAACACGCTAGGGTGGATGCTTCACTAGCACATACTACAGACTAAGTTCACCACTGGCATAAGCAGATGCAACTCCATTGAGTCCAATGGGGTTGTGGCCCCTTACACCGGAGGTAAATTTGGTTATGCATCTTTAAGTGTGCTAGAACGTCAACTTTGTAGTCTCCACTTCCCTTTCACTAAGGTGTTAGACATGAACATTATGGACCAAATTCAACCTTGGTCTAAGCAGCCACAATGCCCAACGGTAACTGCACCAACTTACACCAAGACTGAAATTGGCCAAAACACCTGGTTTATAGTGATGCTGTGAATGATGCTATCTGTTAAAGCATTAGGGCCCTGAGTTCTCACCTTCTTGTTTTGCTTCTGTCTTACTCTCACTGTGTGTTAAACTGTCTCCCATCTGCCCAAAGCTGTTCTTTGTACCCCCCTGCGACTTCCGTTCTCTCCTTGTCTGAATCTGATCGAGTAGAAGTCTGAATAAAAACAAGGTATGAGACTCCTTCCCAGACAATTAAAAGCCAGTTTTGTTTCTGAGGTCACTTGCATTTCAAGCCAAAGTGTGAGTTTCCACTGTTCTGAGCCAACCGGGAATCTCCTTGACTTTTATTTTAAATGTGCTTTTCTCCTTTGCGAAGCTGTTTTAAAAATTCTTCAGGAACAGCATCTGCACACTGCAACCTGGAAGCAGGTCTTGGTTCCATTCTCTGATACAGTCAGAAAACTCAGGAAAAGAGCCATCCTTGCTTTACACGTTTAGACCACCTGGGGCAGGATGGGTGCCTTCTTACAGATGCAAATGGTTTATTAGTATTATGAGTAAGCCATATTCTGTTGATTAAACAGTGGCTATGTTGTTTGGTTTTGGAGGATGCAGTTTATCCTTAGGCATTAGCAAGCAGCTGCCCCAAGGAGTGCTCAGAGGCCTCTCTCCAGGCCCTGTGAGCATGCTTGAAGCTGAGTTGAGGTAGCTGTCAACAGAGTGAGCAAATAGAAAATAAAGCCCTTGTCTCAGTCCTGCATGGAGTCCGGGGTCTCAGCACCAGGAGTGGCTGATCCACTATTCCTTTTTAAAAATGTTAGTCTCTCGAAATAAAATAGTCCCAGGTAGGTGGCAGTGATTCAGCTCTGCTTTGCTTTGAGGATCAGCAAAGGACTAGAAGCCAGTAGCTCCCTCGGGCTGCAGCATGGCTCTAGGAATAGACTACTTTGTCAGATACCTTTCACCCACAGCTCTCCCGTAGCAGCAACCGGTTGGGGGGGCTGCTGGGCTCTAGGGAGAGTGATCGGTGTATGCAGCATTAGAAGTAGCAGCAGTTCTGGCACCAGTGCACAATCCCTTTCTGAGAAGGTTGGACCCCCAAACCCAAACTCCAGATCTGAATGTCCCTGAACTGTGGGTGTGCTTGGAATCTGAATGCAGCACCGTAGCCTGAAGTTAGTCCCCATCTTTGTAACAGGGGAACTTCAGGGGGAGGAATGAAACACTGATCTGAATGCTGAGGCTTGAGCACATCACTCCTTTTAGCAGACAGAATCTCATATCGGAAGGATCTAGTGGGAATGGCCCCATCCTCACAGTGGGGTGTTTTGAGTTTGCTTTATTTCCCCCTATTTCATAAATCTACTAAGAGAAACCCAACCCCACTATGCACTAGCCATGGCCCTCTTTCCTTCACAAGAAGTTGGATACCATTCAAGATGTATCATCGCCGAATGATTGAAAACAGCCAATGGTATGAATTGAAGTCAAATGAAGCTAGCTGTTTCCTAGCTAGGCAGCTTCCGCTCTCTCAAATGGTCACCCAATGCTCTCTCTGAGGTGGTAAAGTCACCTTCTCCAAATTCCCTACCACCTTCCCCGTGGAGTCATCTTCAACGTTGATCCAATGAAAGCAGGATGGAAAAGACCAACAGAAAACCTAAAACACGATGGCTGGATGGCATCAATAGACACCTGTCCCTCACAGGCATCCTAACCCATGACATGCTCAGACACAGCATTGGGTTTTCAATCAAGTCCTTACTTTGACTCAATTTGGACTGATTGATGGAATTACAGCGGGATCAAGTGACCCTCACCACTACCACCACATTCAACCACACTGTCAATTAAAACTCACAACAGTCCTGGCTCCCAGTCCGTTGCTCTGAGCAATCTCAGTACTAGTACTTGGTGCTTACTTTAAAGTGCTGTACAAGCATTAAGTAATGAATCCTTACAACACCCCATCACAGAGGTCCTGACACCCTTTTACAGATAGGGAAACTGAAGCAAAGTAAGGCTTGGAGTGCTGACCTTTTGCTTCCAGGAACTGGCTGGGGCTTCAGGAGCTCCCGATTCAGTTCCTGGCTCTCCCAAACTTCCAGTGTGACCTAGCTCAAACTGCTTCATTTCTCAGTGGATCAGTTAGTCATCTGTAAAACAGGGATACACCTACCTCAGAGGGGTGTAGTGAGGCTATAACGGACTCTTGGCGAAGTACTCAGATACTATGCTAATTGGTGCCCATATAAGGACCTAGTTGAAATGCCCCAGGAAGACTGTTGAGAGCTAGGACTCGAACGCTAGTATGCCTAGCGGCTTGTTTTATGTAGCACCCTGGTATTACAAGCCTTCTTGCTACAGACCCACTTCCTCACCTTACTACCAAACACAGGTCAGCGTTTGTGCTTACGCCCACCCCCAGGGTTTTGTCAAATCTGTTTTTTGACAGTGGGAGCCTCCTAACAGAGGAGAATGTTCTAAATGCCCCCATAGCCGAGCACTCTAAGTACTTTTGGACAGAACAAGCATGCATTGATTCAGCCCGCAGCTGTCAAAAGCCCCATGCAACCTGAGTGATAGGACTAAATGTCTCTCTCAACCCAGATGCCTACTTTTTATCCCTGACAGTGGGATCAGCTTGAGTTTGATCTCATCGCTGAAAGGAATGCTTGGTTCTCACACAATTGGCTGCATTCATCTCTTTCACCTACAGGTGTTAGCCCCAACCAGAGCTAATACTATTACTGGTCACTGCTCTGGCACCAGAAAGGAGCTGCTTTGTTTTCCAATAGGCCATGCACATTGATGATGCGAAATAATTAAATCCTAATCCCAGCGTTCCTGCAATCTCTGGTGGGGTTTTATTTGAGTAAATTAGTCGGTCATGAATGATTTCTGCCTTCAGCACATAGTATCAGCTGTGTAGGTATTTTTACCACCTGTGTCACAACAGTATTTGAGCACCATACTAAATACCAACAAGAGCTTCCCCTCACCCACTGATTCCAAGACATGAAGTGGAAGGAGTTTTTCCCTCCTGTTGTAATGTATTATAAAATTCCAGGAAGCCTTTGACCCGTGGGCATGTTTCACGTTTCATGGCGACTTTGCTCGTGACCATTCCGAGTTCCACAGTCAGTGGCCCAATCCCAAGAAAGCATTGCCCTCCTCATATTAGTTCCATTGTTTCTGCTGAGGGCAGGTCATCTTTTCAGAAGTAAGAGAGGATCTCAGAGTTCCTCGGGCCCCACTCCAGTGGCCTTTGTCCAGGATAAGGAAGGAGTGTGAAGGGAGCCAGCATGGAGTCTGAAATACATGTAGATACAGTAGGTGGATTGCTGAGGTCTTGTCAGCCTTTTAGAACTACAGCGTCTACCCTCATTCTAGATGAGGCTCCTGGATTTTGCACTGAGAGGGTTGGGATCCATCTCGCCCATCTCCACATCCTAATCAGCTAACTGACTCCCACTCCTCAAACTGGCCTGCAGGCTTTCTGTTGACCAATGAAAAGACCAGCAGAGGGATCTGCAGACGGCAACCCTGAAGCACTGTGCACCCTGTGTGGACGTTAACAAAACCAGGCAGCTCCCACGAGCTGAAAAATCTAATTGCAGCTTGAATTTAGTGTTGAAAGCTCACTCAACAAGTAAATTGATATAGCATCTAATTCACTTTAGATGCAAGGGGCAGACAAGCACACGTTAAAGGTAACTTGCCATTTCTTCAGCCCTGTGGATGCTGGCACATTCGCAACTATCAGCCAAATGAAGAATTAAGACAACTTTTATACATGGTCTCCAAAAAGGACAACTGTGTGAACAGCTGCAGAGCCTCAAGGCGGCTGAGAGAGATCATTTCACTGATGATTTGTCTATCCCTCTGGGCCATCCACCTTTTCCTTTTCTTCCAGAAGAGCCCAGTTTCTGTTAGTACTAAGAAAATCTCAATGATATTTTTCTCCACACATCCTAAAAAAAACCCCAAACGAACCCTTGAAGGTTTTACATTTTGACTCAACACCTGAGCCACTTCAACAGTGACTGTCACTTACATAGTGGGGAGCTGAAAGTTTTACAACTGTTGCCAACTTTCTCAATATTTTTTTTAAAGACCCAGCTGTTGAAATCATGTGAATACACAACACTGTCAGTTTTCATTTAAAAATAAATACAATTTCTAGCCCTTAGAGCTGTGGAGGAAAGCTTGAAAACATAAAGCAGGTGCCACCAGAAACCATAAAACAAACAAGAACCAATTTAAAAAAAAAAAAAAGTCAATCTCATAATTTTGGGTGGCCTGATTCGTGGTTTTGGAATTCTTATGGTTGGAAATACTGCATTGCTCTTAATTCTCCCTGGACTCTTTATAATTAAGATTACAGAGTTTATTATGAGAGCGAAATGGGAACTGAAATTTTCATTGCCCCAAACAGTAGCAGTTAAGTTTTCCAAGTGAGTCCCTGATTTTGAATGTCTCAGTTCTTGTTGCCCAATGTGAAAGATGGTAGCCAGGGCCTGGCTTTTTAGAAGTGTTGTGTATCTATATATAACTCCCATTGATTCCAACTGGAGCTGTAGGGGCTCAGTCATCTGAAATATCAAGCCCACAATATTTAAAGTTGAGCACCCAAAACCAAAGAACTCAGTCAGTGGTCATTTTTGAAAATTTGAGCCTAGAAATGTATCCAAGTTGAGCTGATTCTTCTTTCTCCTGGCATTGGTAACTGCAGGGTTACCAGGCAGTGGGAGAGGTCTAACCTCCAGCTACTGCCCCAGCTCTGCAGTGGGATGGTGGAGACAGGCTGGCAAACACAACATTTTAACTTAGTCCATTTTGAGTGTTTGCAATAGGTGTCAGCTTGGCAGCCCTGGAGGTAGAGATTGAAGTCATCTGTTTATCCCTAGCTTGGGCAGTAGCAAGACAGGCTTCTCCCACATCTCACTACCAACCCTGTTCTGGAGGGGCCACTTCTAAACAAGACGGGATAGTTCAGGGTTCAAATCCATTTGGTTCCTGGCCTCTCTGAGACTGCCAAGAAATGGATCTCATTGTGGTATATTTAAAAAACCTGAAACCATCACTTTTCAGGGTCACTCTCCGTTGGATTTCTCGCCCCCTTCCAAATCCAGGAAAGCAGCTCAGGAGCTACGTAACCTGCAGCTCTTCATTTCTGATATCCCAGCACCCCCTTGTGGGGACAAGTTAGTATTGAAAATATAAAAAACAATCCAGAC